TGTGTTGGCAGTTGTTTTGTACGTATAGCGGTATTCACATTTTAAGAGGAAAGAAATTATATATATTTTAAATTTAATTTATTCGTGTAGAAAATAGAAGTAAATAATATTTAATAAATATTAAATATTTGAAATGTAATTCGAATAACTATATTGTTCCATGAGCTATTGAATAAATAAGAATTGAAATGTTCTTTCAGAAATTCTGTGATGAATAAAAGTGGTACAGTAGTATGTTATACAAATATAATGTATTTAATTAAAAAATAATAATTATTATTGAATCACTATACATAAATTAATGTGTGTGAGGCGAAAATATATGTGAAGAACGTACATGAGAACAAGGAATAATTTATTTATAGGACAGAAACTATTTTATAAAAAATGGAAAGCTCAATAAAAGAAATCATTCTAAAAATAGGAAAAATATGATATACAAAATAGTCTAAAAAAGTATATAGAAATAGTAATTATCGTGCAAGAAATTATTAATAAATGCATAAATTTAGTTAGTAATATTATTATATCTAACAATGTAGAGAAATATAAAAAAATATATATATTACAAATAAAAATGTCAGGATCATAAGAGTATAATTTACTTTAATTAAATTTATTTTAATTATCACGTATTATATTCATGATTTTTTTTTAAATTTTTACCAAGTATTTTATAGTCATTTTTTTAAATATTATACAATTGGAATGAACATATGGAATAAGATTCTTCACCTTAAAATTTTTTCATTTTATTTAATTCTTATTGAAATAAGGTTTTTCGCCAAAAATACGTACAGCAATGTTTAAATTCAGGATTACAGTGGTTCTTTTTTTTTTTTTTTTCTAGATAGGAAACGAACCGACGTTTCTGGAAAGACACCGGCACATTTCGAAAGATGATAATTACGCTTTTACGGTACACGGCCAAATCTACATTGTGTCTACGAGGCGAGTCCTCTCGCGGTAGGAAATCGCGCAATACTTTTAGGCTCCCCGGTACACACATTGCGAAAAAGTGAAATGTGTTGTACCATTGCGTTTCCATTGTTGTGTTATGGAAGAGACGTAAAACGGGGCAAGGTTGAATCTCTGATTACTTGAAAGACTTCTACATTATACGAACTAACCCCGAATTTTCTATATCCTAACCTCTTTACGTATCTTTATACTTTAAACTCGTTGGAAAAAAAATTTTTGAAACCGATTGTTACAAATTTCAACTGAGAATTTTGTGATTATTTTATTCTTTATTAAGATACAATTGTCAAATGGAAGAACAGAATTATATTAAAATATTTAATAGTAAAAAATCATTTATCCAGACATTGGATAAAACTGTTTGATTAATTGATTCAGTTTCAGTATATAAATTATCATAATTATCCTTTCCTCGTGCTTTTTAATGCAAATGATATAAAAAAGGTATATAAAATTCAAAAAAGGTATTTTCTCTAAGCTAATACACAATCTAATTTTCTAATTTATTTTGTAGTTTAACAAAAAGTGCAATTCGTCGAAATTAATGTTTAAACCTCCGTTTTAGCTTGAAAAAGAAACGATGTCTGATAATTTGTTAATGTAGTATCACTTAATTATAAAAGCTAGAAATCTAGAAGTACAGGAAAAATGGAATTACTGATTAAAAGCAAATCAAATCACAGCATCTAGTTGGGATTACCAGTTTATGATTATTCGAATTTGCTTCGATAATCTCATCCAACAGGGAAGTACCATTATAATAATAAGCTGTTGCATACATATATCTATAAGATTGCGCAATCGTTGCCACACACAGCCGCGTCAACCGATTGGTATCAATGGCAAAACATTTCGAGGACAAAAAGCACGAGGAACAAGTAGGATCGATGGTTGAATTACACTGATGAAATGAAGAGGGAAGATCGTACAAGAAGATAAAATTACGACGAATAAAAGAATGGAAGAATCGTATAGTAAGACGGACCCAAAATGACTGGCAGAAGCGTCTGAATGGGCTCTGGTTGTTCATACTTGGCCGATCCATGGCATTCCACCAAAGTGGTGCTCACGGTGACGAGCAAAAGAGCAACGACGCATTTTCCATTGTGAAAATCTACGTAATACGACTTTGTTTCCCTGAGCATGGGAGATCCTCCTGACCTTCTATCTCTCTCTTTCTCTTTCTCTCTCTCTCTCTGCATTATACCTGGTTTAATTACGTTTGTCATTTTGTGACTGTGGTGTCTCATTACGAAGAAAGTTCGAGGTTTAACTCGACTGCTTGCGAACCTAGGTGGCCTCTTTCTGGTAACGGCACTAACCAACCCAACCAGACGGCCAACAACAACAATGACGAAGGAACGAACGAACGAACGAACCGACGAAGGAACGAACGAACCAACGAACCAACGAACGAACGAACGAACGAACGAACCAACCAACCAACCAACCAACCGACCGACCGACCGACCAACCAGTCATGAGCCCCCTTTTACCTTACGTATAGCCCTCCGCGTGCCTCTCTTCGCATCGCCGCTCTAGATCTTCGGATAAGAGCGAACACCATTTTAGCGGTTCCTTACACACCAGACATCCGTTCCCTTCCTATATATACGTGGCTACGGGAGAGCTCGCTGCATTTTCTCCGCGCGAATGTGTCAAGCGACTGGGAAACAGACAGAGACAGAGAAGGCGGATCGTGGAAGGTTGGTAGGCGGGAGAGAGGAAGGGAGAGAGGGAGGGAGGGAGAGATGGCGGGCAGAAAAGGACAAAGAAGTCGGAGGGAACGAGCAAGGGAGAGAGGGATCGAAGTGTACGATAAAGTGTGTGTGTGTGAGAGAGAGAGAGAGAGAGAGAAGCGAGGGAGGGAGAGATGTATAGATATATAGCGAGAGTGAGAGAGAAAAAGAGAGATGGGCATGTCAGTCGAAACCTTCTAATCCCACGTACAGGTGCTTAATTCGTTACGTGAGACCGGAGGAAGCAGAAAACGGGATACTGTACCGTTTTCTGTGATAACGAATAAGGGTTTCGCCGTTCTCCTCTTCCTCAACCCCTCTATGCTCTTCGTTAATTAAACGTGTTGGGTTAAATACATTCGCTGTAAAGCGACAACATTCAAGATATGCGAAATAGATTCACCATGAAAGATAAAAAAGATAGGACATCGCGTAGCGGAGATTTCGATGTGTTGGGTCGCGTTAGATTAGCTTTTTGCGATTAAGGTTCAATCGAACTCCTCGGAGCTTTGATAATTTTCTATTTAAGTGGATATCAGACGAGGACGTGGGGAACAGGTCACATCCGGGTTAACGTAATTACAAATTAATTTCGTTTTATTAAGTAGCTCCCGGTCGAAGAACGCACGTATGGCTTATCTCCGAGACTACTTGGAGAAGCACCGTATTCGGGTTAATTCTGCATTTAATTGGTGGCTTAACCGTATATCCACGGTTTATTCGGACTATCGTGAGAAAAAGATATTAATTTTTCACGAGTAACTAGAATTCCCGCAAGAATTTGCACTTTATGGAAACACGGGCAGATGAAGATAACGATAATTGCGTAGTGTGGCGGCCGCGGAAAAGATTATTCGAAATGGTTCAACACGGTGAAATATGGTATATGTTGGATCGTTGCCTTCGAATACTTCAGTGACCCACAGGTGTGTACGGGTGGAACTGCCTTCGAGTAACTGTACCAAAACCTATGAATTTTTACGGCTAAATTATATTCCAATTATAGAAGATATTTTTTCTCATAATTCTTTTTTTATTAATTATCGCTGATTAATGGTGATTATATTACAATACTGTAAAAATTTTAATGATGATAACCTTCTGTCAGAGATTGTAACTATTAAGATTTAGACGATTTGTCATTTTTTAATATAGAAAGTAATATAGCATAATCTATTTTTTTTTTTTTAAATACTTTCTATAAGATTGTATCTTAATGATGTATTTTGATATTATTTATAGTAAAACAATAATATCAATTAAATATACTTACATTTTAATTATTTTAATTCAGTTACATAAAAAAATGTTTTCTAAATATCTAGAACAATATTCGAATCTACAGAATCTTTAACTAAAAAAAATCACTCGTTTGTTAATTATAAATTCCTATATGCTCAGAAAAACCAATTTGCGTATATATTTACAAATCTCTACATCGGTTAGCTGATCGCACATAAAATCTGGCTTTGCTGATAAGAGATCCCCGTTTACGTGTGCGTCTTCTCTCTCGTGCATACACGCAAGATTTCCTCGTCGTATATCGCGTATCTCTTTATCCTTGTTCCATATCTTTCCCTCTCTCTTTCTCTCTCGTACTCACGTCTAAACGTGTATACGCGCACGCAGATGCCGCGTGTCGATGTGGGTAGGGTTATTAGCCCAGAAAGCAAGGCCCCTGCTTCCGGTGTAGGCACTTTAGTTCGAGAGTTTCTTAACCCCTTCTTACACGACTTCTTGCTGGCCTGCCCTGGCCTAAGACTCTGCCCCGACTTGGCCTGTTGTCGGTTGCGGGTGGTAGAATTTCTCGTCGAGAACGAACTCCTGGGTCTACGACGAAACACTCTCTTATACTTGCATTTGTGTGCCTGGTATGAACGGATCGTAGGGTAGGTAGATATACTAGGTTAGGTCGGCACGGTGGCGAACCGAGCAATTTTTCCCGCGGTCTAAGGTGGACCCGACATCGAACGATCGTAAATTTCGCGAAACAGAGGGCGCACGACTCTGACTCGCGATCTTGCTTATCGTACGCTACCATGATACTGATGCAGATTTTACCGTGTTGCTTTGAGATAGTCTGTTAATATACGGGATGAAAGAGAAAAAAATTTTAAATTTGAAATTTTATATTAAAGTGTAAAATAGTAGAAAGAAAAAATAAACATTAATAAACAGATCATTTGTCGTATAATGGTCAAAAGAATTACAGGTAAGTGTTTTTGGTTAATAAATAATTTAGGAACGACAAGATTAAAAATAACGATTTCAGTTCCGTATTTTCATCATTATTTTTCGATATTTTATCAAAAGATTCAATTATTTTGATAATATCAGTATTATGATATGCTGAAAAAAAAAGAAGTATTTTTTACTCTGAAATACAACTTTCTTAGCTAAAGTAATGTTAATCCAATGTTCGAAGTAGAATTGTTGCTTGTTGAATTCATAGCTATTTAATGACAATTTTATTGCGCGAAAAATGATTAATGGCACGTTATTTGCTCGCTGAGGGAAATACTCGGTGATAGGTTAATGGACGTAAAAAATGAACAGGCTGGCGTAAAGCGGCAGAGAGATACGAGCCTCGACGATGATAGATATGCTTTAACCAGTCGTAATTGTTTTGCGTTCGCTCTTAATTGGGGCTACTTGTTCGTTACGTTTCTTCCGAATGAGTAAGAAGCTATGAAGTTTTAATAAATGCCTTGATCGAGCTGTTAACATGTTCTGCGAGGAAACAGGTAAAAAAAATCTTCAATTCGTTAGTCAGTTTATACTTATTAATAATAAATATAAAAAACGAAGAATAATAGAATCATAGCTTGAATTCACAAATCGATCGTAAAATAAAGGTTATTTTCTATCTCTTTCTCTCTCTCTTGATTCGCTGTTTCACTTCGACGATGCATTGCAGGTAAATATTCAAAAAATTTTATTTTAAATTTGCTTTCATCTCAACGAGTTTACTTTAATATTTTTTTTTTCAATATTTTAATTGTTAAAATTGTTAATTGTTAAAAATTTTTTTCAGTTTTATTATTGATTCAAATGAAGACGATTCAAGACATTGGATAGCCAGACTTTCCACGTCCTGTATTCAGACCTTCTGAGTGATTTCTAGGTCAGATAACAATTAGAATAACTCGATTGAATTGGTATACCGATCAGTGAGACGGTAAAGGTGGTCGGCTAGCTTTCGAAAGTGATGACCCCAGGGAGCGGTAAAGATGCGTGCAGGTGCTTCCTCCTTGCATTTTATACCTAGAACAACACTAATGCGATGAAGATTAGTTTACTTAAGTTCCCATGAACTATTTTTGAGCTTAATCGTTTGCACTGATCTCCTGTTATACGTTGTATACGTACGCCAGCTAGGTTGTAATAGATAATTACTCCCGCGACCAGGTAGGGGGATAGACGTTCTTGGATCGCTAATGAGCTTCTGGAATATTATCGATGCTCACGGTAATGCTTATAACTGCTTTTCAACTGAGATTGTAAATTTTCCGTTGTTCACTGATTTCTGAGGGAAAGATGCACGCCGATTATGCATTGGTGGAATATAATAATGTTTTAAAGATACCTGTTGCTTCTGTCTGAACGAGGAATTATCAGTAGATTTGCCAGAACGAAGCGAAGACGGACGTGTATATATATTCAGAAATGCAAAGATATTCAAATAATTGCTTTTTACGAAATAGAAATGAATATCGTATAATTCTTGGAAGGAAAATAATAAGAAAAAATAACATTTCATAGTTCTTTTTTTAAATTAAAAAAGAATTTTGAAACTAACAAATATTTTAAAAATGGTAGAAGAAGTTATTGAGAGTCCAAGCTTAAATACATAAAAAATTTTTTTTACTATTCTATATATATATATATTAAGGAATAAAAATATATCTACTAATAAAGTTTAACTTCAATTAAAAAATATGTATTAATAAATGGAAAAAATTTAAAAAAAGTTAATCGAGTAGAAGAAAATGATTTTGGATACTATGTAATAATTTTTACAATAGAAGAGAATAGATTAGAATAAAATAGAACATAATTACCATATAAACATGACTAATATGATTCATCTATTTTTAACTTTGTCTTTATGTATGTCTGTACTTTAATTTGTGCAAATGATTTCCAACACTCGATTTAAATATTTTCAATCAAGGCCTTGCGACTACTTAGCCTAATAAAACATGTTATCATATTTGATCGAAGAAAATATTTTTACAAACATTCGCAAATCAAAATTTATATATCAATTATACATTTCATAGAAAATCTTACATTTTTATGTTATATTAAATAAAAACTAAATTTTCAATATTGTCTAATTCAAAAATATTTTTTTACAGATGAGAAGTTAGAATAAATTTTCAATATTGTCTGGCATTTTCACGATTTTTCAATTTATTCATCGCTGACAGACACACATAATGAATTTCTCGGGTCACAGGTGAAGGATCTCGAGAGTCGCTTCTTTATTATCGTTTTTCCTTTCATTTTTTTAAATTCTATTTTTGAGTTCTTTTTCGAACAGTAAGGAAACCATGCGTGCGCGCGGGCTTGCGGGCGAGAACACGCATTATTAAAATAGTTTTGTAGAACGCGATTTAATCGCGAAATTACTAAAAATTACTGGCAAGGTAATAATACGTGACCGCATAATGAATTTAAAGTAACTTAAAATAAGAAATTTTAATCCCCAGTGAATCATCTATGGATATGGCACTATATAACTAGAAATACGTTGTTTTTTTTTTTCAATATTCATTCAGATTTACTTTAATAATTCTGAACGATTAATCGTTGGAATTAAAAAAAAAATTCTATATCAGCTAATATGAAAAAACTAATGTTGCGATATAATTTTAATTTTATTATTAAAAGATTATTTAAAAAATTATGGTAGAAAAAAATATTAAAAGTTTGACTATATATTTCTGAAATATCATATATAATCTATACATCGAATTATTTGTTAACTTATAAAATCATTATAAATTTATAAAATTATAATAATTGATAATTTGTATGAAATTAAATGCTAGAATTACAACGTTGAATCATCAAAATCAATTTACAAAGATAAATTACAAAAATCGTAAGACGGATGTTCCGTGCCCTTTAATTCGTAGCATGATCGTATAAATTCATTAGATTCACAATTTTTATACAATGAATTAACGCACATTTACTTAGATTTATTATATTCTATCTCTATTAGTTTCTATCTCGTTGAACTTGTTATACGATGATTTGTATTTTATTTCTTATAATAACTTTCTTCCATAAACTTTCATTTATTTCATTTCAAAAATTATAACAATAAAATATTAACGACAAAATATATTTCAAATCATAATAACCTTAAACAATGATGATAAAGTATTCTTCTTAAATTCCAGATGATTGAAACGCAAGCATTAGATTTGTACATAAATACTCGATCTTGCGTAATGGAAAAACATTGAACTGTGATCCCTTGACGAACTCGAAAAAAATTACATGGCAAAAACTATTGCAACGTCGGAAGTGGCAATGCTCGGGAAGCGTACGGTTCTCAAAGGGTTAATTGGGCATAGTAATTCTTCAGGTGACCAAGCTTCATGGGAGTGGAACGGAGAAAACCCAGTTTTATGCTTCGCATTAAGCGCTTATATCTATATCTTTATGTTGTATCTGCTAATTTATAAATATGTAATTGGCCAACTACGACCCTTCGCTATAGTATTATCTTAAATGTTTTTTTTTTTTTTTTTTACTAGATAAGTTATCGCAACATTTTTATGCAATGAGAAGGAGGGAATACCATTGTCGCGAAAACGAAGTAAATATTATGTAATATTGGATGAGTGACAGCATCTTAATTGTTACTACACCTGTATCAAATATAATTATATTTTTCGTGTAATCGTTAAAATTCCATTATCTTGTCATCAACTAATTAACTTCTACATTGATGTCGAAATAATCGAGTAATTCTTTTTTTACAGTCCTATAATAGTTGATTTTTTTCAATTAATTTTTGTATAAGTATTTTTTCTATAATGATGTATTAAAATTGAGATTCATAAGATTTTAAACACGAATGAAAATCTATTTTTAAATATTTAAATTATTATTTCGATCGTTATTAAAAAGAACTTATATTACAACTAGCATTATTATATATTACAAAATCAAATCAAATCTGATATAATTAATGGTAAATTTGACGTTTAAACATCATTAATTTTTAAATAACAGACAATATAGATATTTATTTTGTCCAACCAATTTTTCTTCAATGTTAATGTATTCGTACCTGTTCCGAATCGATTGCGCCCTACTCGGAATTCGAGCCTTCATTATACTTACTGTCGCCAATCGCGTGTGACAAATTATTCCAGCGTCATATCCGCCAATGGTTCGCGAAAATATTAACAAATCACCTTCCATGCAATCCATTTCTATATATATTCTCTCGCATTCTTCTATTCTTTCTTTCTCTCATCTTCTACCCATAAACAAACGGTAAAAATATAAATAAGTAAATTAGAAATAGAAAAGGATATTAAATTAAAATACAAAAAAAATCAATTAACCATAATCAAGTCAAGACGAGATCTTGAGATCTCGCAACGTTTCAATGAAGCAATTCTGCAACTTTGCGACCGTGCAAAGTATCTCGTGAACTATGAAATGGCTGGTAAAATCTCTTATCTTTGATCGATTGTTTGGCCTTGACTGAAAAAAAGAAAAAAATAAGAAGGATATTTCGCAGTAATGGTCCGGTCAAAAATTCTCACGATCACGATGTCATTTGTGCGAAAACATCGCGAAAAATATAAAAATAGATGCAGCAACGACTAACCGTGGAGGTTAGGAAAAAAAGTATCATCCTTGCGTGTCGGAGGGGCTGAGGTCGCGAGGAGTCGAGGAGTCGAGGAGTCGAAGAGCAACGCGGTCGAGGAACGAGCCCAGGCACACACGATGTGCGCCGCGTATAAGTCAGCACTCAGGATATTTCGTCATTTCCTGCTTCTCACGCGATACAATCTAAATTAACTATGTTCGCTTGGCTAGGCCTCCTCCCTCGCAGAGGCTCGCATCTCTCAAGAAAATTTCTTATTTCCTAGCGAGGAGGGCACACGGGGCGACGTGGGGCGACGTGGAACGACGCGGAGGGACCTCTCTCGACGAACGGCATCATGATCGTAGCGACGATCTTATTAAAAAAAAATAATATACAAGAATTTAGATGTTGATTGTTTGCAATATTCATATCATTTTTGATACGTGATTTAAAATATTCATACTCAGTTTCTAACCTAAAAAAAAACATGGAAGAGTTTAATGCTTATAGAACTACTCTTTGTATTTTTAAAAAAATAAGTATAAAGAAGTTTATTTAAAAAATTAAAGATTGCGATGAATTAAATCCATCGTTATTATCTATCTAGGATGATCGCGATTTACTATGTAGATACTAAAAAACAATATAATCCAATTAGTACTATTTTGAAGTTTCTTTTACCGTTAACCTTACAATGGTTATTTCTCTGGTAACAATTGGCACTAAATATACTTAATTCTCACATAAAATTTAAAAAAAAACTCTTGTATCAACAGATTATCTATTGCAAATTAAATATTAGAAATTCAGTTATAAAACAAATAACGTTCGAGAGATAAGAAAATTATAGGTTAGAAATCAAGCAAATATATACTTTGATACTTCGATAAAATAATCAATTGTATATCGATACATAAAAAATCCTATAAATTTTTCAAACAATGGTATAAAATAAAATTGCTATAAAAAAAATTAATAACATAATTTAAAATTTGAAGAATCAAACTTACATTAAAGTTCTTTGAGATACATCGAACTCGAAAAATAAAACAAAAGAACATTCATAATGCAGCAGAGACAACAATAACGAAGAATGAGAACAGTGCCGAAAACAATCGAAGAACTATAATGAAGAAATAAAGGGATCGATGAAAGCTCCGATAAAAAAATCTCGATTATAATCGAATATTGCAAGGGGACAATATGACGACGAAAATCGATACTAATAAAAGAACAAATCGACTGATTGAAATCGTGGTGATGATGAAAGTCCAAAGAGGGCGAAGACCTGGGTGGCTTTCACAATCAGGCACGTAAATAATTCACTTGGAAAATCCAGCTTTAATGTTTCCGCGGCCGGAAGAGGTTCGCTAAGGTGTTCCACGAGCGTCGGGTAGAAAAAGGAATTTCTTGGAAAGAACCGTCGCTAGGTTAACTTTACTCGACCATTTGTTACATTGGCTGTGTGACGCTTTAAAAAACATTGCCGTTGCAGATTCTAATTCGTCGCGTTTCACCTAGGGGAGAGGTTAGGTTGCGTTACGGTTTGAAGGTAAGCGCGTCGAAGGAAGTAGGGCGTAAAATACCATGAACTTTGAACTGTGCATTTTTGAAGGGAAATGGAGTGAAGAAAACCGCGTGAAAAGATTAAACTATTTGATGTTTAAAGTTATCCATTTTATTTCTATTTTAAGTTTTAACAACAAGTTTTAATTTTTTTTCAATATCTTAATTTGTAACATAATCAGAGAATATTATTTTTAACGTGATGATATATGAATATTTCAATTTTGATAAAAATTATATATTGCGTTATATTTTTTATCGATTTACAGAATTTACAAAAAGTAATCAACAGAATATTTTATTTATGGGAACATGAAATAAAGTGATAAAAATCAATAAATAAATTTGATTCTCTTAAATGGACCATAAATATTCCACCGAGTCATGATTTTCTTGGCGGCGTCGATTGTGGACAATCTGGCGAAGTCATTTAGCGATACGAAGTGTTGCGTCATCGGTTAAACTGATTCGAGAGATATGTATCGATGGCTCTGGTTTGTAGTTCGTCACGCTTATAATTTTACTCTTATTTCGTTAACATAATTCTTACATGTGAACAATAAATAATTTTATTTTATATAAAATAAATTTTTGAGAATAAATAATTCAATAAGATATATATAAAAAAAAATTATTTCCATTCTAATCTTATTCGCATATTTACTATCTTATACATTTGTAAAATTTTTTTTTAATTTTACAATCAAACCATTAAAAATTTTGAATTCAATAATTCAATAAAAATAAAAAAATCATGCTATTGCTTTAATATAGCTAATCCATAAATTAAAGATAAGATATTCCTCGTAGTGTCGATGTTCTATCTATATTCAGAGAAATTTGGTGGATGTCTGCCTAATGATAGACTGCATCACTGCCTGTGCAAAGTTCAATTTCTAAATAAAAATTGCATATGATTCAACAATAATTTCTATCTTTTATTAATATAAGAATCATTGAAAAATTGATTACATTAAATTATTTACTTACTGATTTATCCCATAGATGCATCTATCTCTAAATATTCGTTATACGGAAAGAAGGAATTTTCATCAGGTCGATCCGATCGGTACTTCCTCAAGTATTTAAGATCAGGAAGTAGAGGGTGAACTTCAAAGAACATGCAAGGCAAGCAGAAGAAAGGAGATGATATCGTAGAGCACGGAAATGTTATGGCGTGCAAGGAACACGTGAAGAAGGTGTAAATGACCACGGCGAATACAGGACGCTGAAGAAAAGCAACGATACGGTATTTTGCGTCGCCGCGACGATCCTCTTTTTACGGCTGAATGCGTGCTGATGTAATTCTACTTTCTCTGTGAGAACGAATTTCACAAACCAAACTTCTCCTCTGGGATCTTGAATGGAGAATGTCAGTCGTACTGCTATCGTTTTTTCTCTCAAAAACTTGTTCGGTATTTGCTTAATTTTTGTTTAATTTTATTATAATAAGTATTTTCTGTAACATTTTCACCAATTTCATTATTATCTATTAGAATTTATCATTTATTATTCATCATATAATTTTAATATATTTATTTATAACATACTACATATGTATGAGATTTATTCAATAATTTTCAAACAGATACAAATTTATAGTTTTATTTGGATAAATCTGACAGATTTTTTTTTATATACTATAAATAAATAAATATATTCATCATATTCAATGAAAAAAAGAAATGAAAATGTATATAACTTAACCTTCAACAATTAACCTTAACAATTAACAATATTTTATAGATGATTTTTAATTTTGATGATTATATGAATTATAATTAAATTTTGAAATTATTTGAATTATTAAATATTTTTATACAATTTATTATCTGCACGATTTTTAATTATTCTACAATTAAATCAGTCTGAATTAATTGAAGCACAAGCACGACTTATTATTATAATACACTAAAAAATTGGGGTTAGGATTTTAGGATACAAGAGACCTCTATTAGATATTGAAATAAAGGGAAACTGAAGCGCGAACGGTACTACCAATTGTCATTCGACGCGTAGACATATTAGGGAAATGAATCACTAGACTCTCTGTGCCTTATCAACATCGGTTTCGTGCGAAGAATACCGGCTGACTTCTTTTTACAGTTCGTTTGATTATCTTCCGATCGTGAATCTATTATCGTTGGAATACAATGCCAGTGTACTAGACACACCGCGTTAACGGACAATGTCGGAATACGTTTTCTTGGATGATGTTCATAGAAAAATTTGCGCGAGCCAATCATTTCAACGAAGTGAGGCTACATCGCGTCGGTTTTCTAGACTGTGATGTTCCTTGACATTTTATCACGTAACTAAGGTTGATTGAAAGAGTCGATTTCATATCTACTTGTGAAAACATAAATATAATATCATTGATGGTGCTATAATTATTCTTAACTAGAATTAAATATTAATTAAGCATTAGCTATATTAAATTTATTAAATTTTGAAACTATATGTTAAATTTTGAAATTAGAGATATAATGTTTGCTTTAATTTATAATCACGTTTAATTTTGTTTTAAATTGATATGTGTGTGTTAATGTTATATGTGGACAGTACTGCCCTCCAGAGTTTAATTCTATTAACTAACATTTCGAACAGTCGAAGAAAATGAGGTTATATAATTTTATTTCTGTTATCCTTATTTTTTTTTGTTAAAGAACGAAGTGAAAATTAATCTTAATAATTGAATAGAAGCGCTTTAGAAGAAATTTAATAATTCTGATTTTTAAATCTATTTTTAGTTCATTGGATAGAAGATTTATTTTTTCAACGTAAAGAAAGAAGAAATGATTGATCAGAATTGATTTTACAAGATTCTTTGCTTTAATTTCAATATCAAGTGCATTCAAATACAGTGGAGATCTATTGGAACACTTGAAGTTGTTTCCAAGATCGTTGTTCCATGCTTTGGAGTCGCGGAATAATCCGCTACTGTTCGAGTCCCGTTGTTACCAGACTATCGGAACCTCACTCTCCATTGTCTTGGATAAGGCTTCTAAAAAAATGCATTGACGTCTTCATCGAAACTACCTTGAACTTCACTAACTCAAATCTCTCAACGTTACGTGCTATCACATTAAGAACGGTAAGTTTTTAGAATTATATGTTATAAAAGTATAAAAAGTATAAGATTTTACACTTGTTAAATTATTTATTAAAAATTATACGAAACTATAAAAATGTTATAAGTAATAGAGGAAGTAGGAAACGATCTTTGGTATTAAGTTAATTAGCTGTTTAACGAAGAAACTTTCTACTTCTTAATTTGAGCGGCATTCACCAACATAAATGAAATATAATAATAACATAGTTTCTCATATAAAATTTTGTTACAAATACGATTAATATTGAAAATTTCTCAAACTCTAATAAACTTAATTAGAAATTGAGAAAATTTTTAACTTTAATAATCTTACCAAGTTTTGCTAAAAATTATACCATCTATAATAACAAAAATCTTAATCTTTAAATCTTTAATAATAGTAATCTGTTTCACCAGTACAACCAATTATATCAAGAATACGGAACATTATACAATTGCCAAGAGAAAAGGTACATTGCTCCAAATTGCATCCTAAAACTGCACATACATATATACGCAAAGTCAACTACCAGCAGAGGAACAAACGAGCAGTTAGACATTTTGTCGTGTGGCAGAGGCAGCGATTAGAAAATGTCGTCTCGCGTCGGGAAGACGAGCGAGCGTGGCAAACAGTGGCCATCCGTTCCGCGGGAGCCAGAAAGGTACATAGTTGCGGACGCTGCAATCGGCTGTGCTGGTGGCGTTTCTAACAAATTAACGGCCGATATCTCGTCGTTGCCCTGCTCCTACCTTCTGGCTCCACCTCCCGGTTGTACGGGCTGGTTCGGTGGAGCCCGGCAGATCCAGCCGGCGCGCGGAGAGAGATCATTTTTGCCACGTATTTGCAAACTGAATAATAAATACGCAGATATACGCGAAGAGGCCGCGTTCCGCCTTCACGCAGCTCGCGCTACGCGCGGATTGGTCGCACCGGCCACCGAGGGGACGGCGATATTCATTCGCCGTCTCTCCGGCTCTCGTGGACCTACTTTGTACACGCACACGTGCACGATACCTTGTTGCACGTGCACGCGATCGTTCACGCTTAAGAGGGGAGGCAGCGTGTGCGCGAGAATGCACGCCACTCGCTGTACCATATCCCTCTCTCGTCGGCTCGACGCTCCTCTCGCTACTCTCTCTCGCTTCCCTGCCTCTTCTGCCCCTCAACACACTCACTCTTTCTTCCTCCAACGAGACGAAACGACCTTCCCTCTTTTTTCCACGCGTTTTTCCCTCGGCCTTTCGCATCTCTTCCATCCTTTTAATCCGCGTCACCTTCTATACCCTATTTCATGCTCTCTGTTTCTCTCTTTCATTCTCCTCATTGCAGTTTCTTTTTCTCCTTCTTTTTTCTCCTTCTTATTTCTTGCAGTTTCACCAATGGATCCACCGTTCCATCGTAGAGATTTTCAACCTTTCCTCGCAACCGTACTTTATATCCTTTGGCTTCTTCTTCTCCTCCTCCTCCTCCTTCCCCATCTCCTTCGCCGCCACCGTCCTTGTTCGCGTTTCTCTGGCCGCCGCACCGGCCGATCAGCACACACCCGCGCACATACGGTGTGTATACTCGCACACTTCTAGAGAAATACTTAGCCTGTGCACCTCGATCGGCTTTCTTGTCCTTGCCGCATACACACCGGCTACTGTGGCTTTCCTAAATCCCCTCGACATCACCCCGATTGCGCAGAAGTGGAAACGTGGCGGGGAATCACCCGGTCGAGGCAACCAACCACTTTTAAAATTGTTCATTCCGTGGTAGCGAGGGATAGAGAAAAAGAAGAAAAGAGACATCGATGCCGTTGGAGAAATAGAAGCGATAATGTTGAATGTAAATGTCGCGACGATGGGAATTAAGCATTCAGTTTGAATCCAATGAATGAGACTATTGAATGTTTCAGTTTTTCTTGAAAAAAATGATTTTCAAGAAGGAAGAATCTATGCTCCATTGATGGGAGAATCACTTTGTTTCTAATAAATTCTGCTGGCACAGAATAGAATCTCTACAAATTGTTAAATACCTTTTTTTTCTAGCGTTTTAGCTAAATATTTCATTTGTAAACTGAAAGTTTCAAGTTTGAAAATATTTAAATACTTGAAATTATCGATATAAGAATTTTATTGTTTTTTAATGAATCATCAATAACATCCTTTAATTATTTCCAACTATATAATTCTATCATGTCAATTATATGAATCATACTGAATAATTTTCTGATATTGTCATATAAGAATAAGTATAAGTTATGTATCTTTATCAGATAATTTAACAGAAAACAAAATTCTTGATTAACAAATATTTTATTCTTTTTCCAGATTTGTACTGCACAAAATTCAACTTCCTTATTAATCATAATTTTCATGAATACCGTTTTCACGTAAGAGAATTCTATCCACGCATTGATAATCTTGCCTTGAGGCGTCATCATCATCATCGGAGAGAATAAAGTAGAAGAAACGGAATTGACTTGTCATTTCTTGTGTAATAAATCACGAGCCCCAGGTATGTTAATTTTAATCGATAAGCATTTTCTTCTTGCTGGTTAATGTGAGTAATCGTTTTTTCCAGGATGCTCATTTTGGCGGGATCTCCTGGTAGCGGACCACTGTCGCTTCATTTTTACCACAGTCTGTCTGAGCTGTATAAATATTTATAATCCATAGACATAAATATATTACTTGCTTCCTAATGCATTAACAAGCACAATGCACTTATACCATATATCTTGTAGTTGGGTAGAAGCAAGTGAACAAAGTATGATTTTTTCGGTTTACTTTACGGTTTTTTAAATATCGTTTTTCTTCCGTTTATTGTTGCATTTTGTCCATACGAATTGACTCTTTTAGTATGACAGTACATCATGAAATTGTGACGATTTCTTTCACTATAGCTTTCAATTATCCAAGAATATCCATTATTATTATAAAATCCTAGATTTCTTATAGATTTGCATCGTTATTTTCTTCAATGAAGAATTTAATCTAAAAAGATGGAAGATTTTAATAATCAGAAAAGGATTTGTAATATTAGTAAAAAAAAAAAATTAATTTTAATGAAATCATATGAATATTGAACAGAGATTTAATTACTTGGAAATTATAAACATGATGTTTTTTCAGATAGAAAACAATCAATTTCGATTTATCATTGCTACTTATAATGTAACCAAGAATCTTATAAATTAAAATTTACATCAATCTTATAAATTTTAATCTTCATATTTTCATATAAGTTTTCTTCGGTTTTTTTTTTGTGTGTTTTTATGAGAAATTAGTATATACTCTTAATTATAACTTGCAATAATATTATATCTACTTATAATACAACTTAATTATTAGGATTACATTGTATTTCCCATATTATAATACATATAATACATATAATACATTTTATAGAATTGTAACTTTATAAAAATATTTTCAATTCAGAAATTTAAACACATTTTTAAGTAGATAATTAATATTAATTGTAAGAAAATTTTCCAATTATCTGATGTAAAAATATAGCCGTATAAACATAATCACAAAGAGAATACTATAGATTTATATAGGATGGATATGAATAACATAATTATAATTTTCTTTATTATGAATCAATGAAAATTTTTTTACATTTCATCAGATTAATCTTCTTACATTACATTGATATGAAATAAATTAAAAAATTTTAAACAAATTAACTTTGAAGATTTATATATGATGATTTTTTATTTTTGACAGTATTATCGATACCGAAGATGGTACATAAAATAGAGAACGAAATCAACGTAATAATTATTGCCATGTCTTTTCGAACTTAGAATCTTTTAAATATTCAGTTTATACGCTCCGTTTTACGTTCACTACCCCGTATCACGCTAGACGAGCGCACACGTGCGTTCATTTCATATGCATACGAAAACAGTTACGCGTTACGTTTTGGATCGACAATGGGGTCGAAGAGCTTCTCGATCTTAGTTTCGATATATCGGTGTTTTTATTTTGTTTGGAAAAAGAATAAAACAATGAAACAACTTTTCTTCTCTTACTCATTTGATATCTTATAAAAATGATAATATCTTGATAAAAACTTTCGATCAGAAAAATTGGAATCTTCGAATCTTATCTTTTCAGAAATATTTTTCCTTTTTGGATTAAATGATAACGTTAAGATTGTATAATCTTTGCAATGATTTCCTAATTATTTTATTGAATATTTCATAGAATACAAAGGAATTAAATTAAAATTCAGTGGTCAAAAAAATCTATTCGCGTGTCTCTTTTCCTAATAACCAGTTCCGCAATCCATTCAACCTATACGAATACGTATGTCACTCATACCAAGCTTTAAATTGAATTATAATTCGTCACTGTTGTCGCGGCGTTTCGTGTTTCCCGATAATTAACGCGCTCGGCCAGTTTGTTCTTACTTTCGTGGAATACAGTTCCTTGTAACGAAGCGTTCAGCGTTAACGAAGCATTAAAGCGAACCAGCTGCGTTTGGTTAACACAGGGAACAAACGGGTGGAATACAAAGCGTGTAATTACCAGGTGATCGTCCCTAATAACGGAATAACGTGTACAATTATTCGTCCTTACGCATTTCATCGAATTGCCAATTTCTCTATGAGAATGGGAGTCAATGGTCTGTACTTCGTTCGAGGAAATCGTAATTCTCGGCTCTCAGTTGTCGCGTCGTCCGTCTTTCGTCGTTTGTCGTTCTTTCCGTGATATTGGAGAGGCGCTGGCAGCTCGTATATCCCATCGTCCCGTGCAGTGTCTATAATCTCCTCCATAGTATGGAGAATTTTTTTTTTCGCGCGCTTGTGATGACACCCACGTGGTTGCCTAGAGTCTGCTCTTCGCGCGATTCGCATAAAAGCCACCACCAATCTATATGGACGCAACCTTTCTCTTCTCGTGTGTGTTAATCAATCTGCTTCCTACGCTTTCAATTATGTAACACGGCATTACTCTATGCCCGAGGAAATTCAAAAAAGACAATCTTGAGGCTGGGGCGTGTGTCCGAACCTTCTAACTTCTCTCTCGGCTGGGTTTCTATGATCTTCGTTTACGTTTAAATATGCAATTTGTTGGAAAATACCATTCGGATGTTCACAGTAATTCGACAGGAATCTCTTCGATCGATTAAAATTATTTTTCTTGATATTCAAACAATGGATTGAATCAATTGTGGAAATCGTGGAAAATGACAATATGATATTCAAGAATATGTGCTGATATCGCTATAATGATTAATAAAAATCGAAATACGAAGATGAAGATTTGATAGTGCAATGCATATATTTTTGTATATGTAATATCTTTGATTATATAAATAATATGTCGATTCAATTGTTTTACATAATACAATACGTAAGTAATTACTTTCAGTGATTGATGTAAAGCATCACTTATAAATTTTTAAATGAATTCTTATGAGATTGTATAAAATTTATATCTAAAGAAGAAATATCTAAAGAAGATACATAAAAATTTTACATTTTTTTAAAATAATAAAACAATTTTAAGTAATTAGGATTGATATTGCTTTTTTTATATGCAAAAAGTGATGCATTTTATTAAAATTCGTTGTATGAAAAAAATAATTAAAAAATAGTTAGCTATAAAATATGCAACAATATATAAAGTACATAAAATAAATTTCATTGATCTTATATCTATCTATAAATAATAATTAAAATCTCTTCCATGTGTATTTATCGTTGAAAATCGTTTTTTTAAATAAATTTTGAAATATTCTATTCTTCTGTTTTAACAATTGATTACTAATTTTTTTTGTTTGAAAGTTAAAAAATAAAATTTCCAATAAATATAAGACTTTAATATAAAACAAGATTAATTTATCAACAAATTATAATTATTTCAACTAATAACTGAAAAATGAAAAGTATAAAGATATGTAATTATAAATTCAATGGATATTTTTATAATTTTCTATAATAAAAAATCACTATGATAAATGATATTTTTACATATTTTCAATTTTATACTCCATTCGATTTAAAAAGAATACAAAATAATCATATAAGGTTTATTCGAACTCTACATCGAATTCCAAAAATCGTAAGCACGTTGTCTAAACTCGAAACTGCGGTTTCCTCGCGGTCGAGCGATGGCGCAGAGATGCCGCCTATGCACGGGCGTATCCACGAGGCCGTATTCGCGCGAGAGGGAGACCGGACGGAGCGAAACAGTCTATGAGAAGTTCGTAACGAGAGCAAGAGAAAGGAATCGACAAAGCCTGATCATAGAACCTAGACGAAGAGATCGAAGAAAAGAAAGAGAAGGATAATGTAAGAAGAGGCTAAAAGATGCGATAGAAAGTGCGGGGCATCCTCCGCAATCGGTACGTCCATGCACACGTATACCTGTGCAACGTTTGTATAGATCAGGTCGCGAATCCGCGGCGCGGTCGCGGTAGAAACGTAGAAAGCGCGGGGCGCCGCCACTGAGAGTGTGGCCGCCGGTGGTTCGGCCCGGGCCGAGTCGAGTCGAGTGGAGTCGAGGGGAGTCGAGCGAAGTCGAGTCGAGTCGAGTCGAGTCGCAAGTCACCTCCGCTCACCTCACGGCGCGTTCGACTTCAGTTCGCGCTCGAGTCGTGCACCACGGAACACGCGAGAGTCAGCCGGGCCGGCTGCCGCGATCGAGTTGGACGCACGCGCCCGACCAGCTATCGAGAGAGAGATCAACGATAGACAAGACTGCACGTTTCGACCTGAATCACGTAGACTATAGATCGATTGACGTGAAATTAAAACGGTATAAGATAAAAGAATCGTAATTAGATCGGTAAACGCGTAATATATACAGAACTATAGAAGCACGATATATGAAATTGCTTGTTCAATTTTGTCAGGATAACGATTCCTTGTTAGAGGAATTAGAAGCGCGAATAGTGGCATGAATCTCGTGACAACCGGTTAATTCAACGTAGAACGCGCTCAAAATTACCGACGCTGTTATATTATGTCACACTCCCACACGAGCGACGGCCGCCGCTACCGGCGCGACGGTATATCAAGCTAACGTTGTCGTCGTTTGACATTTCCATGAGCGTGGAGCGGTTAACGCGAACCCAGTGTTC